CCCTTCCTGTAGGAACCAAGTACCTCAGGGAGAAGCCTAGCCCTTGCTCCTCTTCCCTGGATCTTATTTCCTGCTACCCAGACTTTCTGGGTAGGTTTGGGCATGGAGGGCGCTAAAGGAGTTTTCACAGATAAACTCAAAGCCTCCAAAGTCCAGCCATGTCTTGTTCTCTCTCAAGATTCCAGCAGGAGAAAGGTGGAAGCCCTTTCCCCGCCAGAGCTGTGTTTCTCTCAAAGGATTCTTACACACTCCCTAGTAAGGACGTCCACTTGGGTGGTAAACACGGCCGTGATTTCAGTGTTATTTACCCAAGATGGAGAGCTGGCACCTGCACACACGTGTGTGTCCTGTGCTCTCCTGCTTTCTCAGAGCTGAGTAACAAGATTATACACACGCTAGTACTGTCTCCACTTAAATCACCCTGTCATCCCCACCTCAGGTTTTTGAGGTATCCCCGATGGTCTCAGAGCATCAGAGATACGACCCTTTGCCCACTTGTCCTCCAAGCCCCCTTCCCAGGCTTCTCTGCTCCGCCTGTGTTTATATTCTCCAGCCTCTGTGGAGTTGCCGCTGCCTCCTCCTCTGTCTTTGTGTCTGTCTGAAGCAACGGTTGCCTGTTCCCAAAAGAGGTTTTTGAGATCCTGGCCCAGGCCCCTCTAGGAGTACTGTGTTTAGTACCAGCATTTTGTTTAGTTTTTATATGTGATTGTGCTGTTATTCTTTGTTAAGCTAATGGATCAATAGATTTGTTTACAATGTGATATTTTCTATTAAATCTAATATTTTCAAATAAATTATGTCATTTGTGAATTTTGACATTCTCCTGAGTGACTGTTCCATGACCAAGGCAACTTATAAAAGAAAGAGCATTTAACTGGGGACTTGCTTAGAGTTTCAGAGGGTTAGTTCATCATCGTTGTGATGGCGTGTGGCAGCAGGCAGGCATGATGCTGGAGTAGCAGCTGAGAGCTTACCTCTTATCTGTAAGAGGGAGGCCAACAAGGAGAGAGACTAGGCCTGGTGTGGGCTTTTGAAACCTCAAAGCCCAGCCCCACTGACACACCTCCGACAAGGCCACGCCTCCTAATCCTTCCTAAACAGTTCCGCCAACTGGGAACCGCAACATTCAGATATAGGAGCCCCTGGTGGCCATTCCTACCCAAGGCTTCCCCAGAGTGCGGAAGGGTAACTTCTGGAATGTATTTGGGCGACCCCTATAAGCATGGTGTTGAAAGAGAGGAGGAGCGGGTGGGTCACAGCCTGCAGTCTGCAGCCTGTTTTTTTTTTTCCTTGGCCCTGGGGCTGAGGATGGGTGCTGTCCAGATGCCGCACACAGGACCCGCTGTGCTCTCAGTGCCTACATTTGCAGAAACTGAATAACAGCGGTGCTAGGACAGTGGGAAGCTTTTGCAGGGAGAGGGTGTTTACAGTAGTCTGAGGATGGACAAAACTGAAAAAAGCAAAATGAGTTTAGTATTATGGGAAATGTAAGAGCTGCCACTGAACCCTAATCTCTACCAGGAGAGTAACTGAAGTCAGGGTTCATCAGGGAGCCTGGGGAAGAATGGTTTGGCAGGTCAACACAGAACTGGTAGACTAATGAGCAGGAAAAGCATCTAGGAAGCAGTGAACGTGGCACCCTAGGGTGGTTTGAAAAAGAATGGCTGCCATAGGCTCATGTATTGGGATGCTTGGTCCCCAGGGAGTGGCACTACTTGAAAGGATTAGAAGGTTTAGGAGGTGTGGCCTTGTTGGAGGATGTCAGTCACTAGGACTGGGCTTTGAGGTTTCAAAAGCCCACGCCATGCCCAGAGTCTCTGCCTGCCTGCCTGCCTGCCTGCCTGCCTGCAGATCAGGCTATAGCTCTCAGCTACTGGCCCGTGCCTGGCTGTGTGCCAGCACGCTCCCTCCATAATGATAATAGACTGACCTCTGAGACTAAGCAAGCCCCAGTTAAACGCTTTCTTTTGTAAGAGTTGCCTTGGTTATGTCCCTTTACAGCAGTTGAACTGTGACTAAGACACACTGCTAATTAAACTAATGAGGAGTAAACAAAACATAGCTTCATACTCTAGTATCACAAGCACAGCAATTGTCTGCTGATCTCTTCAATCTGGTTGGTTGGTTGTATTTTTGTGTTTTTGAGACAGGCTTTCTCTGTTTAGTCCTAGCTGTCCTGAAACTCATTCTGTAGACCAGGCTGACCTTGAACCTAGAGATCCACCTGCCTCTGCCTCCCAAGCACTGGGATTAAAGGCGTGTGCCACCACTGCCTGGCTTGATCTCTTCAGTGTTAAAGTTAAAAAAAAAGACAGAATATTAAGTACCTGTATGAGAAACAATTGGAATGAACAGATGAGCAACACACTGTAATGTTCTGGCAGAATGTGAGATCTATATAGGCAGTCAGCTGTTAGATTTAAGTCAGGTTGTAGATATTGCTCCGTGGTGGATGCTCACCTCGTACCACAGAGCTCTGGAATTACTCCAGCACCAGGGTAACATTTTCAGCTGCATGGTCTGGTTAAATGAAGCCAGCAGCCTTGAAGCTCTTCAGGATGTAGAACTCTGAAGAAACTGCAGCAGAGGCACTCTAATATGTTGGATCACCTGAGTCACCCATTTTCTTTGGTGTCTGGTCCCCTTGCTCTGAAAACACATAAACTTTTAAAGGTTTTAAAGGTAACATATATATCTGCATTAACATAAGTATGGACTGTGAGTTGCACACAAGCCAGCCAAAGATGATTTTTTTT